GGCGGGGCCGCTAGGTAGGGCGGCGGGGCCGCGCGATGGGGCGGCGGGGCCGCGAGGAAGGGCGGCGGGGCCGCTAGGTAGGGCGGCGGGGCCGCGCGATGGGGCGGCGGGGCCGCGAGGAAGGGCGGCGGGGCCGCTAGGTAGGGCGGCGGGGCCGCGCGATGGGGCGGCGGGGCCGCGAGGAAGGGCCGCTAGGGCGGCTCGACGAAGTGAGGGCCCGGAGCGCGACTCGGGCTGAGCGCGCTTCGGGCAGGAAAAAAAAACTCGATGTGGTGGGCCCTAAGCACAGTTCCCAAGGGGGAACCTACTCGATACCATGAGAAGATTTGAACAAGAATGTGTGAACTATGAAATGATGTGAGTACAAATATGAAACCCTAATTGGTTGTACCCCCTATGGGATACCCCACTATAGCCTACACAACAGCATAAGCTACAATGTTCTGACACTAGTTGTAGCAGCACTAGCTTCAGTAGCAGCAGCAGTGAGTAACAGTAACACGGGCCGCGTGCGGGCCAGTCGCGGGCTGTAAGGGCTGCGTGCGGGCCTGGCGCGGGCTTTACGCGCTGGGTGCGAGCCTGACGTGAGCTGTACGGGCTGCGCGACGGCCTGGCGCGGGCTGTACGGGCTGCGCGACGGCCTGGCGCGGGCTGTACGGGCTTCGCGACGGGTCTACGCGGGCTGTACAGGCTTCGCGACGGGCCTACGCGGGCTGTACGGGCTTCGCGACGGGCCTACGTGGGCTGTACGGGCTTCGCGACGGGCCTACGCGTTCAGGGGGGGGTCGCACGTGACTAGGAGGGAAAAAAAATCGCGTCTAGGGAACCGTCTCGCCTAGAGCACGGTTTCGAATTTCGCATTTCTCCTAGGGGCGCGACTCGGGCAGTAGATCGAAATAGTAGTGGTGGGCCCTTTTTAAAAAAAATCGGTCCTAAGGAGCATTGTGCTCTTAATACCATGTTAGAATCACTAGCTAGGGAACGAGAAAAGTGATGATTAGGTGAAGATTGGGGTACAAGACTAGAGTGTCGAGACTATTTGTGTACCCCCTAAGGCTAGCCCCAATATAGCCTAGATACAATTATGCATATGTTTTGACAGATGCCTCGTTCTTATTGCTGGCCCAATAGATTATGCTACTTTCCACATCCACAACATGCGTTTCCATTATGTTCCACGTGGTTTGCAAGATATGAGCACCTGAACTCTGCCCGGTACGCCCATTACAGGTGCGCATACTGACCGGACTGCCCGATGCATCACTTGACTGGTCCACTGCATCGGATGCCTCGTTTTTTATGCTGGTCCACTAGAATAGGCTATTTTCCACACTCACAACAAGTGTTTCCATTTCGTTCCACGTGGTTTGCAAGGTCTGAGCGCCTGAACTCTGCCCGGTGCGCCCATTACAGGTGCGGATACTGACCTGAGTGCCCGACGCATCACTTTGATTGGTCCACTGTGAAAGTTTAAAAGGAAGAAGAGAGGGTTGCACTAGCAAGAATGAGGATACAAATAGCAAACCCTAGAAGGGTTGTACTCGCTATAGAGCACCCCACTACAGGCTAGAGCATAATATTCTGACACACCCCCATAGCCAAAGTGGGGTGTAATCAGCAGAGCAAGCAAAGCAGTACAAGCTCAGGGTGGATCACAATGTCACCACACATTCTGAGCACAAGTTCAAGAAGCAATAGTTTAAAGTTCACAATTATGAGCAAAGCTAGTGGTAGTCACAACGGGCAAGTGAGGAGGAGGAAAGAGACTATGAGAGGAGAGGAGGTAGTGGGCGGCAGCTGAAGCTGCTGGCACACGGCGCAACTGGAGCAACTGGCACACGGGCAACTGGAGCAACTGGCACACTGGCAACTGGAGCAACTGGCACACGGGCTACTGGAGTAACTGGCTCCGCGGCTAAAAGTAGCGGCAGACGAGCAACGGACTCACGGGCGACTGGAGCAACGGGCTCACGGGCGACTGGCGCAACGGGCTCACGGGCGACTGGCGCAACGGTCTCACGGGCGACTGGAGCTGCTGGCTTCACGGCGGCCACCCCCTTCAACCTCCCCAAACCATCCCACTCCCCCTGACACACACCCGCTGCTACACCGCTAGCTCCACTCCCCCTTCACCCCCCCTTAGTACCACTCCAACGGCTCCAACAAGTCCACCCCCCCTCAGCGGCAGCTGCAGCACAGGGAGACGGAGGAGGAGGAGGAGCAGGGAACGGCACACAGTGGCTTCACCCCCATACCCCTCACCCCCAAACCCTAATTCAGGAGAACGGGCTGTAGGAGGGGTGGGGCGCCAGTAGAAGCACGGGGGACAGCGGGGAGGGCAGGGGCAGCGAGGAAAGGGCCGCCCACGGGCCTGGCACAGCCGCCCGAACCGCGCGCAGGCGGCCCGAGCCGCGCGCGGGCCTGGCGCAGCCCGTACGGGCCGCGCGCGGGCCTGGCGCAGCCCGTACGGGCCGCGCGCTGGCCTGGCGCAGCCCGTACGGGCCGCGTCCGGGCCTGGCGCAGCCCTTACGGGCCGCGCGCAGCCTGTACGGGCCGCGCGCAGGCCACGACGGGCGACGGGGGGCGACGCGTGGGTCCCCGTCGCCCGTCGCAGCGCCTCCCGAGGGCGACGCGCCGAGTGACGGGGCAGAAGCCCGCCGCGCGCCTCGGGGCGCACAGCGGGTAGAGAACCGCCGCGCGCCACGGGGCGCACGGCGGGCAGAAAACCGCCGCGCGCCTCGGGGCGCACGGCGGGAAGAAAAACTGCCGCACGCCACGGGGCGTGCGGCACAGAGGGTAGCAGTGGAAGTTGCAGCGGAAGCAACGAGGTGGTGATCCCACCCACAGGATCGATCCAAGGGGATCGACCTGCTCTGATAGCATGTTAAAGTTTAAAAGGAAGAAGAGAGGGTTGCACTAGCAAGAATGAGGATACAAATAGCAAACCCTAGAAGGGTTGTACTCGCTATAGAGCACCCCACTACAGGCTAGAGCATAATATTCTGACATCCACTGCATCGGATGCCTCGTTCTTTTTGCTGGTCCACTAGAATAGGCTATTTTCCACACTCACAACAAGTGTTTCCGTTTCGTTCCACGTGGTTTGCAAGATCTGAGCGCCTGAACGCTGCCCAGTGCGCCCATTACAGGTGCGCATACTGACCGGACTGCCCGACGCATCACTTTGATTGGTCCACTGCATCGGATGCCTCTTTCTTTTTGCTGGACCACTAGATTATGCTTTTTTCCACACCCACAACAAGAATTTCCATTTAGTTCCACGTGGTTTGCAGAATTTGAGCGCCTGAACTCTGCCCGGTACGCCCATTGCAGGTGCGCATACTGACCGGACTGCCTAACGCATCACTTTGATTGGTCCACTGCATCGGATGCCTAATTCTTTTTGCTGGTCCACTAGATTAGGCTATTTTCCACATCCACAACAAGTGTTTCCATTTCGTTCCACGTGGTTTGCAAGATATGAGCGCCTGAACTCTGCCCGTTGCGCCCATTGCAGGTACGCATACTGACCGGACTACTTGACGCATCACTTTGATTGGTCTACTGCATCGGATGCCTCGTTCTTTTTGCTGGTCCACTAAATTAGGCTATTTTTCACATGCACAACAAGTGTTTCCATTTCGTTTCACGTTGTTTGCAAAATATGAGCGCCTGAACTCTGCCCGGTACGCCCATTACTGGTGCGCACGTCGCCAGGCTGGCCCAGACTCATGTATTATCGGTTTCATAGTGCACCCCCGATACAAGTCTGAGGCTCAGCCTACACTACTAAAAATAGTCTGAAATTAAAGACAAGTATGTTAAAAAAACTCTGAAAAATCAGACAGGGTGCCTAAAAAAAATCTTAGAGTGCAGACTAGGTACAAACAAAAAGTCTGAACGGACTCTGAATCAGACTCCGAAGTCTGATATCTAGGGCCCTGGTGACGCATGCTGCAAACAGGAGATAAGTAACGAGCATGCACGGGTAAGGAGAAGAGAGGCATTGCGTGCGGGGTACTTATGGTTTTTGCGCAGGGCTGACGTTTCATATTAGGCCTCCCTGATTTCGGGGAGATTTTTTTCCCTCTATTATGAGTGCACATTTTTCAGAATGATGCTACCCTGATTGCTCATGGTTGAAAAGTATATAACTCTGATTGTTCAGGGTCGAAAATCGAAGATCAGAGTAGTAACGCGCCCTTTGTTAGAGAGGAAAATGTCTCACTCTGCGAAAAGTCTGCGCTCTGTGTTTCGCGCACACTTTGAGCGCGCTAATTTTCACCCGTTTAGTTTCAGGGAACTATTATTTATCCAAATCAGAACCTACCAGATTGGATGATCCAAATGCGACCTGCGTAACGAATCCGATACATCATGAGCCTTTATCTATCGCCACGTCAATATGACCCCATGCTTGGAAAATTACTGGAGGCGCGTGTAGCTGAGCTCCTCGTGGCCAGTCAAACCACTCGAGGTACGCCACGATGGCGTTAATACCACCAATGAGAGGACAGATCTGTATGCATGTACGCGCTGTACACTCCTATTGAAACTGACCTCAATTCCTGAAATTTGCCAAGAGAGTCGAACATAGTCACGATTGCCTGCCTCGCCGTCAAATTCATCCAATCCCGAAGCTTTTCACACCAACCCCGATGGCAGCACGTTACCACCACACAGATCCCAAGGCTCAAAGCCAAACAATAAAGCCACCAATCCCAAGCTTCCCCTACCTCAACCGAGCCAATCCAAATCCCCAAGGTCCGCCTCTTCTCATTCCGCTCCGCTCCCATCAACCTTCATTCCTGGCAGCAAGATAAAGCGCAAACGCTTTCCTCTACTCCATTTTTCTAGCCTGCGTGCTTGCCTACAGATTGCTCCGCTGTAACACAAGCTCCCGCAAGGCCCACAGGGCTGCTTTCTCTCTGACGGCTGAATTCACTGCACGAACACCGACGCTCGCCTAAACCTGACCGAGCACTTATCTGTCACCGTCCATGGCGACAGCGGTATTAAAGCAGTCAGTGTTGCTCGCGCGAGGTACTCAATCTCTAGCCGATCTTCAGACGACTAGCGGGAAGAAGGGAGGAAAGGCGTCGTCGTTTTTCGGAGCATCTGTGGCAGTGCACGCAAGGTCTAGGTTTCTCTCCGGTGCTGCTGTCTGCAGACGCGTGACCGTCCGCGATACGGCCAATGTCGCAAGCCGTCGCTTTAACTTGTCGCGTGCGACTGCTGTGTACTCGACGGCAAATGTTGCGACGGATGACGTCGAGAAGGCCTATGAGGTAGGTTTTCCCCTTCGTCTAAGTTGGCGACTGTGCGATTTGCAAATTGTTTTACCTTATTCTGTCGATCTTTGGTAAATATTAGTAGGCCACAAGACCTTTTTGAAATGCAGCTGTTTTGTACGCTACTGGTGTAGAGCTTCGAATGAGGAACCGTCTCGCGTGGCATCTCAATTTTGTTGATTTATGCATGTCTTGCGTCGTTATGGATACCCGCAGGTGGCGGACGCGGAGGAGCTCCTTAAGGAGCACGGAGCGTGCGGTGTCGGCCTGATCGCATCGCTAAAGAACGAGTCCACGCATAAGATTATCGAGCAGGTAATAATGTTTTTTTGAATCAAGCTTTTAAATATCACCTTCGATAATGCGAAGTTCATTCTTCATGTTTCCGTGTTCACCTTCCCGTGTTTCTCGCCTGTTTCGCCGTCGACACCCTTCACTAAAGCTCTGAATTCCTTTTACCTCCTCGTCCCCACCTCTCCTCGTCCGGGTCTGCATGCGGCGCCGTCATCCACTCTTACAATGGTCGTGCGCTTCCCTGCTCGCATTCTGTCAGCAATGAGTAGGCTGTAACGCCGACACTAGTTCAATAGTCATCCCTTTTTCCCTTCCCGTACGCGCTCCCGCGCAGGGCCTGACGGCGCTGGGGTGCATGGAGCATCGCGGCGGGTGCAGCGCCGACAACGACTCGGGCGACGGCGCGGGGCTCATGACGGCCGTGCCTTGGGATCTCCTCGACAGCTGGCAGCAGGAGAACGGCCGCGGCCCGCTCGACCGCGCCGCGACGGGCGTGGGCATGGTGTTCCTGCCGAAGAAGGAGAGCGACGCCGAGACCGCCAAGAAACGTGAGCCTTTAATCGCATAGAGGCTTGGAAAAATAAAATGAAAAAAATGAATGTGTTATAGGGAGGAATACAACACGCCACGGCGGGCTCAGTGCATGCTGGAGGCCAGTCGACGCGCGAGGCGAAGTAACTGACCCGTGCATGAATTACTGTATGGAGCGTCGTTGGAGGAATTAGCTGTCGCGAAGCTTTCTGCCAGGGAGCAAGTAAGGCTCGGAGTGTTGCGACGTGTGCAGGAGAGTAGGACTTCAGGCGACTGTGGAAGAACGAAAGGGGTTGAACATGCGAAGTAGTAGAAGCGTTAAAAGTACAAATTTTATGAAGTAGAACGCGATTACAAATGGCGGAAGTGAGCAGTGAACAGGTCAGTCACTCCAGGGTTCAGGGTTTAGTCGAACTGCCACCAATTGCCTCACTCTTCTCCGACTCTAGACGTACCGTCTCACATTTCTCGCCGCGTCTCGCCCCTTGCGCCCGTCACCGTCCATCCTCCTCCCAGTGGTGGAGGCAGTGATCAAGGAGGAGGGGCACGGGCTGGAGGTGGTGGGGTGGCGCCAGGTGCCAGTCAACGAGGCCGTGGGGACAGTGCTTAGATGGCGTTCCCACAGTTTCCCGACACCGAAGTTTGCCCATCAGGCTAAAAAATTGTCGGGATGGTGGTCAGAGTGGGGTACTGCCCCACTCAGGACACCGCGTCCTTGCGAGCAGTTACGACCAAATTGCGACCTTCTGACCAGCACTCACGTAAATAATCTAGTCGCACCCAATAGGCCTTCACGTCTGACAATCGGATGGACTCAACGATTTGGTTGGGATTTCTGACTCCCGCGTAAAACGGTGCCCGAAAATTTGAAAACAAAACATTCTGAGGCGCACTGAACCATTTCTGCTATTGAATGGCGTTGACTCAGAAACTGGGCAGCTGAACTTCGGGCAATGACACAAAATCGCGGGTGGGGTCGTAGCTCATTTCGGTAAGCGTCGTGGGCCGTCAGATGAGATCGTATACGGCTGTGGATGAACACTCGCACGACGAATTTGATGGGAAACTTGGTGGTCGAACTTCGAGCCGCATGCTGGCAAATTTCTCGAAATTTGCAAAATTGCGAGCCGCGTGGGCAGACTTTCTTGTCGGGAAACTGTGGGAACGCCCTCTTAGTCGAACTTCCTGCCACTTATAGCCTCATCCTTCACACTCCTCCCCGCATCCCGTCTCGCCCCTTGTGCCCGTCCCAGTGGTGGAGGCAGTGATCAAGGAGGAGGGGCACGGGCTGCAGGTGGTGGGGTGGCGCCAGGTGCCAGTGAACGAGGCCGTGGTGGGCCCCTTCGCGCGCGTCACGCTCCCCGCCATCCAGCAGCTCGTGCTCTCCGTGCCAGGCCTCGCCCCGGACGACACGGAGCGCGAGCTCTACATCCTCCGAAAGCTCATCGAGAAGGCTGTCACACGCACCATCGCAGCAGAGGCAGCAGCCGCGGGGGTGCCAACAACAGAGCATCCGTTGAACGACCTGTACTTCTGCTCGCTGTCCAGCAAGACGATCATCTACAAGGGCATGCTGCGCGCGGCGGTGGTGGGGGCGTTTTACGCGGACCTGAAGAACGAGCTGTTCCGCAGCCCGTTTGCCATCTACCACAGGCGGTTTAGTACCAACACGACGCCCAAGTGGCTGCTGGCGCAGCCCATGCGGTTCCTGGGGCACAACGGCGAGATCAACACGCTGCAGGGGAACCTGAATTGGATGGTTTCGCGCGAGCCCACGCTCACGTCGCCCGTGTGGCGCGGCCGTGAGGCGGATATCTTCCCCGTGGTTAATCTCGCTGCGTCTGACTCGGCTAATCTGGACGGTGTTGCTGAGGTGAGGGGCCATGGTGGGTGGATGGAGTGGTGGTGCTGGAGGGAAGAACATCTGGGTACAGGGGGTCTTTGTTTGGGTGAAACGCATGGTTGAGAAAGTGTTACTGCAAGAAGTTACCAGAATTGCACTACCACTTATCCATCAATATTCGTCACTCAGCCTATTCCCCTACGCCATCATCCCACCTCCCACTTCCGCTATGCCCTTATCTCTGCCTTCCCCTTTCCTCCCTCCCTCCCGCTCTCCCTCCCTCCCCCACTCCCTGCCTCCCGTGGACCGCAGCTGCTGCTGAACAGTGGCAGGCGGCCGGAGGAGGTGCTGATGATGCTCGTGCCCGAGGCCTACCAGAACCACCCCACGCTCTCCGCCAAGTACCCCGAGGTACGTGTCTCCACTCATGTCATGTCATCTCACACGCATTTCCCCTTGTACTTTGTTTGAAGAGCGTGCAGACCCAGATGGGCGTAGTGCCTCAAGCCAAGCTAGGTCGCTTTCTCGTTGCTGTGCCATAATTCGTCATAATAGAGGTAAGAAGAGAACAAAAATACACTAAACTCCGTTCCCCCGTATGCCACACACGCTTTCTTTCAACAGGTGGTGAGTTTCTACGAGTACTACAAGTCGCAGATGGAGGCGTGGGATGGACCTGCCCTGCTCGTCTTCAGGTAACCCCGCCTCATGTGTGCCTGCGTCTCCCCATTCCCCTGCTGCATGGTTTCCAACCCGGATAGTTTCTCACACCGACACATCAGCGTCCAGTTTGTACCCAACCCTGATGCCAAACTGCGCTATTATGTCTCTCTCCCATCTCGTCCACCCACTCCTTGTGATCTGCAGCAACGGGAGGACAGTGGGAGCGTGTCTGGATCGCAACGGGCTGCGCCCGGCGAGGTACTGGAGGACCAACGACGACATGCTCTACGTCGCCTCTGAGGTGTGTCCCCTGCCCCCACCCTCGTGTGCTCCTTGAGTCCTTGCAGCTCCCTATTGCACCCTCGTGTTCACTTGCCCCTCATTACACCAAAGCCCTTGGCATTTCTGACTGTGTTGCCGCCTTGGCCTTCTTTCTCCCCTTCCCCTCCTCCCTGCCTGGAATGAGTGGTGAGTGGGCATGCTAAGCGTGGACGAGTCGAATGGGTGCGCCCTGCACAGCACACTTACCATGTGTTACCACTCTGCTCACTCCCCACCCCTTCCCCGTCTCCCCTTCGCCCCCTCACCTCCTCTCGGCAGGTGGGAGTGCTGAACATGGACGAGGCGACCATCGTGAGCAAGGGCCGTCTGGGGCCAGGCATGATGATCTCCGTCGACCTGCACACCGGCGAGGTGAGACCTGCTGTGCTGTGCTGTGTTGTGGTGTGCTGTGGTGTGCTGTGGTGTGCTGTGCTGAACCAAGCATTGCTTGCAAGAGGTATGTGGCAGCCTGACTCACATTCTCGGCCCCCCTTCTTTCTCTACTATTCCCCCTGCCCGTGCATCTCCTTCCTCCCCTCCCCATCCCGTCCCCAGGTGCTATCCAACACGGCCATCAAGAGGCAGGTGGCGAACGCACACCCCTTCAAGGAGTGGCTCGATAAGGAGGTCAGTGCGTTTGGGCGCATGTGGTGACGTGCTAGGGAGTCCGAGCTGGTCTGGTAGTTGTTGGTGTGATGTTTACCATCATATCCAGCCCGGATCATGTGTCCCTCGAGCATCAAGCTTCTCTCTCTGTTCCCTACTCTATCCTTTCCTTTTCCCGCTTCTCTCTGCTCGCAATTATTCCCCCTTCCCCGTTTCCCCCTTTGCCCCCACCCGCTCGCCCCTGTGCTGCTCTCTGTGTGCCACCAGTCGCGTCAGATCGTCCCCATGCCCTTCGCCGCTGAGCCAGCCCTCTCCCCTGACGAAGTGCTCCGCAGGCAAAAGTGAGCCTATCCCCCTCTTCCCCCCCTTCCCATTCCTCCCTTTCCCCACCCTCCCCCGCACACCCCACATCGAATGCCCCCACCCAGCTATTCACACGCCCCCCTGCTGTCCACCCGCCCCCCTCCTGTTCACTCACATGCCTCCTCTCTCTTTTTCATGGTTGTCCCTCATATGACTCGCCTCGCCACCCTGTGCCATCTTTCCACATGTCCGTTGCTCCCCACCCCCTATCCCGCTCCCACCTCCCAATGCAAACCCATCGGCCCTTCTCCACCAACCCCCAAGCTCCCGGGCGACAACACGCCGCTTGCCTCATCGCCAGCATGTGCCGTCTTCCCACGTCTCTGTTACCCTCCCCCTATCCTGCTCCCATCTCCCAAACCAAGCCCATCAATCCTTTACACTAACCACCAGGCTATCCTTTACCACCCCCCACCACCGCAAACCCCCGACAGTGCGTACGGGTATTCGAGTGAGGACGTGGTGATGGTGATAGAGAGCATGGCAGCGCAGGCCATCGAGCCCACCTTCTGCATGGGCGACGACACGCCCCTCCCCGTGCTCTCCGCGCGCCCCCACCTCCTCTTCAACTACTTCAAGCAGCGCTTTGCCCAGGTGCGGTGCACTGACCCCACACTCTCACTGCTTCTCGCAGGTCCGTTGCAGTGATGCTCCACTTTCTCGGTGTCGCCAGTTCCAGTGTAGTTTCACCCAGATCCGTTGTAGTGACGCCCCACTCCCACCACCCTGTGAGGGCTCTCAACCTGGCTGAAATTGCACCGTGTCACCTTGCACTGACGTTAACAACTCCCAATCCCCCTCGGACATGGCCCCTGAAGGTGACGAACCTGGCCATTGACCCCCTGCGTGAGGGTCTGGTGATGTCGCTGGAGATTGCTTGCATGGCTCCCAAGCTGGCCCAATTTGCACCTTGTACTCACGACCCTTGTTGCTGCCATTTCCCTCCACCGCACTCCTCTCCACCCCTGCAGGTGACGAACCCGGCCATCGACCCTCTGCGAGAGGGCCTGGTGATGTCCCTGGAGATAGCGCTGGGGCGGCGAGACAACATCCTCGACGTGGGCGCTGAGCACGCGAACGTGGTGCGTGCACTGCTAGGGGTGTGGAGGGGAGGGATCTGGGGTTGCGGTGGAGTGAGGGGTCGTGTCACATACCATGTCTGTTGGCTCGCCACATGCTTGTGCACTAGGTTGGGAGATGGTGGTATGATGTTGATGTGGTGCTGCTGGGCTCACTAGGTGGACCTTCCAGGTGTATAGCAGCAGCAGCATCAACACTCCAACCTGTTCTCTCTCACTGTGCATTTCCACTTCCTCCCCTCCCCTTCCAATCCTTCCCACCCCCAGGTGCGCCTGACCTCGCCAGTGCTGAACGAGGCGGAGATGCAGGAGCTCATGGACGACAAGCAGCTCGCAGCAGCGCGCCTGCCCATCTTCTTCGACGTCTCCCAGGGCGTTGAAGGCGCCCTCTCCCGCGGCCTCGACGCCCTCTGTGCCGCCGCCGACGCTGCTGTTGAGTCCGGAGCGCAGCTGCTAGTGCTGTCGGACAATGCCGACCAGCTCGACGCCACCCGGCCGGCGATCCCGGCGTTATTGGCCGTGGGGGCGGTGCACCACCATTTGATCCGCACAGGGAAGCGCCTGAATGCGTCGATAGTGGTGGAGACGGCGCAGTGCTTCAGCACTCACCACTTTGCGTGCCTGGTGGGGTATGGTGCCAGTGCTGTGTGTGCGTACGGTGCCCTGGAGACGGTGCGGCAGTGGCGGGCGAGTGAGAAGACGCAGAAGCTCATGACGTTTGGCAAGCTGCCCACTGTCACCTCGGAGCAGGCCCAGCTCAACTACCGCAAGGTGCGTCCGTTGCTGCTTGTTCTGTTACTGCAAGGCAGGCTCATTGCTCATTCCTGTTTGTAGGCGAATGAATCTTTGACAGCCACAAGCTGAGTTGGAGCTCACTGTATTCCCCATCTCCCCGTGCTTCCCATCACTGCAGGCGATAGAGAAGGGGCTGATGAAGATTCTGTCCAAGATGGGCATCTCGCTGCTGGCGAGCTACTGTGGCGCGCAGATCTTTGAGATCTACGGGCTCGGCGCCCCGGTCGTGGACCGCGCCTTCAAGGGCTCCGTCTCCCGCATTGGCGGACTCACCCTCGACGAGGTGAGGGCTGCAGGGCGTTGCTTCCTCTCCCTTCCATTTCTTGCTTTCACATCACGAATACCACCCTTGTGCCATGCAATGCTGTGGACACAAGGTCTGGCTGTTCAGCAAGACTCATCATTACACCCTGTCTTCCCTCCCTCCTGTCCCCATGGTTTCCACAGCTCGCAAACGAGAGTCTGACGTTCTGGGCGAAGGGGTTTGGCGCGGAGGGCAAGGGGAAGCTGGAGAACATGGGGTTCCTGCAGGTGAGGCAGGGCGGCGAGTACCACAGCAACAACCCCGAGATGAGCAAGCTGCTGCACAAGGCCGTGCGCCAGGGGGAGCAGACCGCCTACTCCGCCTACCAGGCCCACCTCGCCACGCGCCCCGTCAACGTCCTCCGTGACCTGCTCGAGCTCGACACTGCCAGCCGCACGGCGATTCCCCTGGAGGAGGTCGAGTCGGCGGCGTCGATCGCCACGCGGTTCTGCACCGGAGGCATGTCTCTGGGCGCCATTTCCAGGGAGTGCCACGAGGTGATCGCGGTCGCGATGAACCGGCTGGGCGGGAAGAGCAACTCGGGTGAGGGCGGAGAGGACCCGATGAGATGGGTGGAGCTGGAGGATGTAGATGCAGACGGGCGGTCGCCCACCTTCCCCCATCTCAAGGGGTTGAGGAACGGCGACAAGGCGACGAGCGCGATCAAGCAGGTGGCGTCGGGGCGGTTTGGCGTAACGCCGACGTTCCTGGCGAATGCGGAGCAGCTGGAGATCAAGGTGGCGCAGGGGGCGAAGCCGGGCGAGGGTGGGCAGCTGCCGGGCAAGAAGGTGTCGCCCTACATTGCCCAGCTCCGGAGCTCCAAGCCGGGCGTGCCACTCATCTCGCCCCCGCCCCACCATGACATCTACTCCATTGAAGACCTTGCTCAGCTCATCTTCGACCTCCACCAGGTGAGCCTAGCTTCGACTGTGCTCTTAGGTTGTGGGTGTGCGCCGCATTACTGTCAAAAAGCATGTCATGTTCACAGACACCATCAGCCATGCATGCGAATGAAGCGGCTCCCACCAACTTGCCCTCCCCTTAAAGCTGAAGTATACATTTGTCATCCAGGTTTTGGGTTTAGAAAGTCACCTCACGGTCTCACAGGCAAACTTTCAAATTTCAAAAGTTTTTGAACCCCTTCTGTCAAATGTATACGAAAGCTTTAATGCTGCCTGATTTATCTCCTTCCAAACCCCTGTCCCTCCAGGTGAACCCAGCGGCGAAGGTGTCAGTGAAGCTGGTGGCGGAGGCGGGCATTTCTTTGATTGCACCCAAAGCTTATTGCATTTCCTCCCCATGTCCTTTTAACCCCTGCCACCCACCCAGGTGAACCCAGCGGCGAAGGTGTCTGTGAAGCTGGTGGCGGAGGCGGGCATCGGAACAGTGGCGAGCGGAGTGGCCAAGGCGAATGCGGACATCATCCAGATCTCGGGGCATGATGGCGGCACGGGCGCCAGCCCCATCAGCTCCATCAAGCATGCTGGCGGGCCCTGGGAGATGGGTCTCACTGAGACGCACCAGGTGCGATGATGGGGCACTGCAGTGGGAAACGCATATGGCAGGGAATGGATTCTGTGAAACACGCCAGTCTTAGGAGTGTCGCGCTTTACACGGTCGTTTTGCCTCAATTCTTTTCCCCCTCTACTCTCTCTTTCCGTCTCACCTCGCTTCCAGACACTTCTCGCCAACGGGCTGAGGGACCGTGTGGTGCTGAGGGTGGACGGGGGCATCAAGTGCGGCACGGACGTGCTCGTGGCGGCTGCCATGGGCGCTGACGAGTTTGGCTTTGGGTCGCTCGCCATGATCGCCACGGGGTGCATCATGGCTCGCATCTGCCACACCAACAACTGCCCTGTGGGGGTTGCTTCTCAGGTACCCACCGTCACTTTCAGCTGGCGTCTCTTGCTAGAAATGCTGGTTCTGGGCATACTGTTTGTTGGCTCTAAGCAACCGCCCAATACCTTTTCTATCAACTCCGTGTGTCCCTCATCTTGTTTCCGCTCTCGCTTCTCTTTTCCACTTAGCCTCTTTCTCCGTGTGTGCCCCGGTGCCTCTCTTCCCCCTGCGACCATGCACATGTGTGTGTGTGTGTGTGTGTGTGTGTGTGTATGTGTGTGTGTGTGTGTGTGTGTGTGTGTGTGTGTGTGTGTGTGTGTGTGTGTGTGTGTGTGTGTGTGTGTGTGTGTGTGTGTGCCAGAGGGAGGAGCTGAGGGCACGCTTCCCAGGGGTGCCGTCAGACCTGGTCAACTACTTTGTCTTCGTTGCAGAGGAGGTCAGTGCCGTTCCACTCCCTCGCCCTCTCCCTCTCCCTCGCCCTCTCCCTCTCCCTTTTTCTCCCTCTCCTGCTTGTGCTTGGTCTCTCCTCCTCCCTTTTAAAGGCGCGATGAGTTCGGACCACCCTGCACATATCCCTCCCCCCTTTCCCCTTCCGTCGGTATTCCCTCATCAGTTCCCTGCTAGTTGGCCGCCTCCCCTCCTCACTCGTCCACCTCCGCCCTTTGAAACCCATCTCTCTCCTCCCTGCGCCTTGCAGGTGCGGGTGGGGTTGGCATCACTGGGCATGAAGAGTCTGGACGAGCTGGTGGGGCGAGTGAACGCACTCAAGGCCAGGGATGTGGCACTCGCTAAGACCAACTCCATCGACCTCTCCTACCTCCTCACCGTAAGCTGCCCCTCGCCTCTGCATGCACATCGGCCACCCCTGCACACCCTCTCAGCCATGCACGCTGCTCCTTGCCCCTCACACCATGGGCCTGTCCTCCACGTGTGCATGTATGCATGCATGCCATCGGTTCCCAATGTCCTCACTGCTCTGTTACATCGCCATGTACATTACATATGCCTACAGAATCCATTATTCCTCCATCCGCACTAACAACATCAACACCTCCCCTCCCTCGTCTCGCCCCACCTCTCCCCCATGCCACGGCGCCCCACCAGTACCCCGGGGTGTCATCGGCGAGCAGCTCAGCGTGCATGGCACAGGAGGTGCACTCCAACATGCCAGTGTTCTCAACCCCCCCTTTCCTCCCCCCCCCCCCCTCACTGTCTACCCATTCCTCCTCTCGTCTGTGCGCACGTGGCAGTACCCCGGGGTGTCATCAGCAAGCAGCACGGAGCGCATGGCACAGGAGGTGCACTCCAACGGACCCATGCTGGACGACACCCTCCTCGCCAACCCCACCGTGCGTTGCACCCCCACCCCCAACATATGCCCACCTTTCCCATACATACATGATACACCCCCCACGTGATTGCAACTCGCTGGCCTCCCTCCCTACATCCGTATGACACACATGCATCATGTATCTGTCCACATTGCTCGCTCTGAACATTATTTTGCTAATCGCAAGCCCTCGCTCTTCTCCCCATGTGCAGGTAATGGCGGCCATAGAGCAGAACAAGGTGGTGCAGCTGGCCACGCCCATAGTCAACACAGGCTGCTCACTGACCTTCACTCTGTTTCCCTTTCCTGCCCGCCCTGCCCCTTGTGCTCCCCTGTGCGCCCTGCGTGTGCCCCCTGTGTGCCGACGAGCAGGTGATGGCGGCCATAGAGCAGAACAAGGTGGTGCAGCTGGCCACGCCCATAGTCAACACGGACCGCTCCACGTGTGGCCGCGTGGCGGGCGCCATTGCCAAGCGCCATGGGGACTCGGGCTTCACAGGCGCCGTCAACATCACGTGAGGCCCCCACCGCCCCCCCGCTCCCCTCCCCTCTGCAGCATCCTTTGCCGCTGATGTTCTTCACCCTCCCTCCCTGCACTATCGGTGCACCGTACAGTGCACGTGCCCTACGCAGCACACCGTACAGTGCATGTGCCCTACGCAGCACACCGTACAGTGCATGTGCCCTTCGCAGCACACCGTACAGTGCATGTGCCCTACGCAGCACACCGAGCCTCAGATTCTCTCTCCCGTATGTTTGACCCACTTGGCCGTTCTCCACCCCACTAGATTTGTCTCCACCCCACATGACCCCTCTTTATTCCACATATGCTGTGTCCGGATCAAGCCCCACGTTCTCTCATATGAACCTTGTCATGTTTATCTATGCCCGTGCCCGCAGGTTCAAGGGCAGTGCAGGGCAGTCGTTTGGGTGCTTCCTGGCGGGCGGCATGAACATCCGCCTCATTGGCGAGGCCAACGACTACGTCGGCAAGGTATGGGCAACGATTCAGACAGAGGGCCGTTCAGAAAGAGGGCGATTCATATGGCAACCATGTGGCGCAGGACATTGTACGGAGTGAACAGTTAACTTGGAAGGGAGTTCAGCAGCTGTGTGGGGAAGTGATTGGTGCTGTGTGTGTGGGGTTCTTAGTGCATTAGGCATGGCACTGGGGGGCTCCTTTGGGCAGGCTCGTAGGTTTGTCAGAATTCATAAGAGACTAGTCACCAGAATCGCAACACCTGTCCGCACCTCTTCCGTCTTGCCCACTCTAACCCTTTCTCCCCTCTACTACACCCTTTCTTGTGCCGAATTCCCTCCCCACACCTTTCTTTCCACCTACCTTGATGCGTGGCAGGGCATGGCAGGGGGGCAGATAGTGGTGGTGCCGTCCAAGGAAGCGACCTTCCAGGCCGAGACAGCCACCATCATCGGCAACACGTGTCTCTACGGCGCCACAGGCGGGCGGCTGTTTGTGCGCGGGTGTGCGGGGGAGCGCTTCGCTGTGCGCAACTCCAACGCGCAGGCTGTGCTGGAGGGCGCCGGCGACCACTGCTGCGAGTACATGACTGGCGGCACCGTCGTGGCCCTTGGCAAGTGAGTGCTAGTGTTTTGAGACGACTCAAAGGCTTTGCAGTGCGCAACTACAAAGCGCATGCCGTGCTGGAGGGTGCCGGCGACCACTGCTGCGAGTACATGACTGGCGGCACCGTTGTGGCGCTCGGCAAGTGAGTCCCAGCTGGCGGGTTGGGGGATCGAGGGGTTTGGGACACGGGAGAGCACTGACATCGGGGGGGCATGAGGCATTGACCAAATATCTTAACCCGCTCGCCACTGCTGTGAGTGCATGATGGCTGGCACCTTGGTTAGGGGATTGAGAATCACGGGTTGGGTTTGGTTCTGCATGCACTTGTCATTCCAGGCAATGTTTGAGCATCACTGCTTGTCTCTCTCTCTCTGGCCCCTTTTTCCCTCGGCGTTCCACAGGGTGGGGCGCAATGTAGCAGCGGGCATGACAGGAGGCATCGGGTACTTCCTGGATGAGGACAACACCTTCTCCCCTAAGGTCCGTTGCCCACTCTTCCTTACCTATTATTGCCACCTCGTCTCCCGTCCCCTTCTGTTTTAATGTGGGTGATATCTCTGTCTCGTCTGTCCCCCCGTCACATCTATTTACTTCTCTTCACATCAGGAATTTCTACTGCATTTATCTTCCTAACCTTGCTGTATCTGGCTGGTTACATCGATGTGATTCCTCAGGTGAACCGGGAGATTGTGGCGATGCAGAGAGTGGTGTCGCCAGGAGGCCAGCAGCAGCTCAAGTCGCTCATCCAGGACCATGCGGTACGCTCTCTCTGCACCCACTCACACCGACTCTCTCACCGTGCCTGCACTCGACCTTGTTTCTCTGTCGCCCTTATTGCAGGGCAAAGGCATCATGCAAGGTGTAATTGTGTTAATACAAGTATCCCTACTTTCCCCACTCACATTCATCTCTTCCCCCCCCCCCCCCCCCCCCCCCACCACACCCTCTCTTTGTGCTGAGCAGGATCTGACGGGCAGTGCCAAGGCGGCCGCCATCCTGGCGGAGTGGGACAAGTTCCTGCCGCTCTTCTGGCAGCTCGTGCCGCCCAGCGAAGCCAACTCGCCAGAAGCCAAGGCGCCTGCTGCTGAAGAACCCGTCGCTGCGCTTGCATGAACCACCACAATGTGAAGTGACTCTGGTTCTCAGTGTGCCCCTCTTGGTGAGAAGCACCTCGATATGTTGTTTCTCGTTGCGGCTTCCTATTGCAGCCCTTCCCTTTGGAGACTCGGATGAGGGATTGATGCCTGGCCGTAATCCAGCATTAAAGCTGGAACTGGGAGGACATCCGCTGGTGTTATTTTGGTGCATGTAACTTCCAGGGTTTGCCTGGTCATGTGCCACCAGGCCTGATAACCGTACGTTTTGGGCTCGTGTTTGTTAGGGAAACTGCCCTGTGACCCATCCTGAGCGTGTAGGGTGGATTGGCACTTCCTACTGTATACCTGTTCACATGGGTAATTTACAGTTCTTAGATATTAAATATTCATCATTCACAAATAGCCATATCAGGAGAACAGCTTGCTATCTCCGTTACTGGAGGAGAATGTTCCAGCATTAGTGAGACCTGTCGCAACCGTCGTAGACTTGTCGCCACGGCACCCTCAACTCCACGCCGCCTCGCCGTGTGCGACACACCTGGGCCACTAGTTTTCGCCGAAAAAACCCTGAACCCTGAACCCGTCAGGCTCTTCTTGGGAACTCATTCCCTTCTCGGGCTAATCTCTCACAGATGGTTGCACATCACAGCATGGATGCCCGACACCCGTGAGTCCGTGACCCATCCCATCCCATACCATCCCGTCCATCCCCCAAGAAACATCACTTCCGAGTCTTCCCCCACCGCAACCTCACAGAATAAATTCCTCGAGAATTCCGCAGTTGCGCTCTCTTTGCCTTGGCAAGCTCGAGGCCAGCACGCGTTGCATCTCTGCTCCTGCGAGATCCTAGCCCGCTCTAGCCTCGTCTGCCCGTGCGCGGATCCGCAACTTTCGTCTGCTCCGCGTGTTTCGTGCATATCGCCGCCATGGATTTAGCGCAGCTGTCCGGCGTGCTGCAGCAGGCCCTCAGCGCCAATCCCGAGGAGCGCAAGGCCGGCGAGGCTCACCTCGTGCAGGTCCGTCCGTAAATCTTCCCGTTCGTAGATCATTTCGTCTGTAGATTATCCCGCTCGTAGTTTATCCCGTCCGTAGATCATCCCGTCCGTAAATCATCCCTTTCGTAGATCATCCCGTTTGTAGATCATCCCTTCGGTGAATCATTCTGTCCGTAGATCATCATGTCCGTATATCATCCCGTCTGTGCATCCTTTCTTAGCAAATCGATAGTTGTCCTTTCTCACAACTTAGCTAGCTGAATTCGTATATTCTCGCGTTCCAAAACTCCGGGTTTCGCTTCATTATATCCCACTTGCTTGACCGAACGCAAGCATGATCGAGGAGCACGAGCATTGCTCGACAACGAGGAATTTGCCCCGTCGACGGAAACCGTTCAAACCGCCGCTGCGTTCGCGCATTGTCGCATTCTCAGGCGACGCCAAACTAACTTCTTTCGTCATCTCCTTGCTCCCCCCGTCCTCGTTCCGAATCGGCAGAATCAGTTCGTGCCGGGGCATCTCGTGGCGCTGCTGCAGATGGTCGTGCGTGCTGACGTGGACCTCGCGATCCGCCAGGTGGCGGCTATTCACTTCAAGAACACCGTGTCGCGCAACTGGAGAACCAAATCCGACGCTACCGAGGCTGCCGCTGCAGGTGAGTCGTCGCCTCGTTATAAGCTAATTGTTCTAGTCAGTGCCTGACAAAGAATTTGAGAATGCGGCTCTGTGAGATGAGCAGACGATGGGATAGTTCACGCGGAAGGAACCAAGCGCACCGTCTTATAACGAAGCAGGTGGTACTCGAGTGCCATAACGGATGAGGCTATACTTGTTCGACGAGGGCGAGGGATGGGATCGGGGTGGGCGGATGGTATAGGATGCCATTGGCGGGTGATATGATTCTCGTAGCCTGCTGAGCGTTGAATTTAACTGTGCGCGTTCCGTCCACGGCGATCCCGGCAGGTTCGCCGCTGTTCTCGGAGGGTGACGTGGCGGCGGTGCGGGACAACCTCGTGGAGGCCGTCATCTGCTGCCCGCCGCTCATCAGGTGCGCTGCCGTCCTGCCCTCGCATTCCCGCGCTGCACATGCATCGCTTGCTGCCCGTGCATTCCCGTCTTCGATTCGTGTTCTCACCCCTACCCTTTGTAATCATTTTGAATCTGCAATTGCTTATTGGACCCTTTACCCCCGTTCACCTGACACCCCTGACACCCATTCACGCTCCCTCCACTCTCCCCCCTGCCGCTTCCCCCCACTCTGCACCCCCCGCAGGTCGCAGCTGATCGAGGTGCTCAAGGCGGTGGTGCAGAGCGACTACCCGGAGCGCATGCCGGCGCTGCTGCAGCAGGCGCTCGCGAACCTGCACAGCCCCGACCAGCCGCGCGTCTACGGCGCGCTCGTCGTCGTCCGCGTGCTCGCGCGCAAATACGAGTACGTGTGATGGGGCGTGATGGGTCGCGCGCAAATACGAGTACGTGTGATGGGGCGTGATGGGTCGCGCGGAAATACGAGTACGTGTGATGGGGCGTGATGGGTCGCGCGCAAATACGAGTACGTGCAATCGTGGCACGTGTACCTTCCCTGCCCTTTCTCTTCCCTGGTCGCACCCGCCATCCGCCATCCACTCCTTTCATTCTCCGTCCCCCACACCCCCCCGCTCCTCGTGCGCGTGCAGGTTCAAGGACGAGGAGGACCGCGTGCCCGTGCACGAGGTGGTAACCAGCACCTTCCCGCAGCTGCTGGTCATTCTGCAGCAGCTGCTGGCCGTGCCCAACCCGTCCCTCGATATTGCCGAGTACATGAAGCTCGTGCTCAAGATCTTCTGGTCCGCCTGCTACGTGAGTGCCACATCTCCGCCCGCGTGAATGGGCATGCGACTCTAAGCAATGCTGCGTGAACGGATGAGCGTACGCGCTCTTGTGGTGCCACCCCTTCTCTCTCCTCTAACGTCCCTTCCATACCCATCCCCCCATCTCTCCGTCTCCCTATCATTCCGTTTCTTCATCTTCCCATTTCCCCATTCCCCCAACCCACCACCCCTCATCCTGATGGCAGCTGAGGCAGGAGGGCGTGCTCCTGGCGTGGATGGAGTGCTTCCACACGCTGCTGGCGTGGATGGAGTGCTTCTACACGCTGCTAAACCCACCCTTCCCCTCTCCGCTTCCGTTCCTCCCTCATACCACCACCGCTGTCAACCCCGATCCCCCAATAACAGCTCAAGGTGCCCGAGATGGTGCAGCAGGAGGCGGTGTTCCTGGCGTGGATGGAGTGCTTCCACGCGCTGCTGGAGCGGCCTGTGCCCACTGAAGGGCAGCCGTCGGACCCCGAGCAGCGCAAGCAGTGGGCGTGGTGGAAGGTCAAGAAGTGGCTGCTGCACATCATCAACCGCATGTTCCACAGGTGGGTGGGACGCTGTGTTGGCGATGCCCTTCAAGGGATGCTGGGGGGGCGTTGAAGGTTCTGGGCAAGGGCGTGGGGGTGACGGGCATGGTGGAAAGGTCAAGAATTGGCTGTTGCACGTCATCAACCGCATGTGCGACGGGCTCTCGTGTCATCAGTTGCGATTCCACACGCTCTCACGTCGTTAACCGCACTCACCCATTCCCCACGCTCCCAGAGGTTTGGCAATCCCGAGTAAGCCAAGGGCGGGCGAGGACAGGGCGTTCGTCTCCATGTTTGCCAATAAGTGCGCTGCCCTCATGTTTTGGTTGCCTCACAAGTTACCACACCCCCATTCGTCCCTGTCCCGCAGGTTTGGCAATCCCAAGTACGCCAAGGGCGATGACAAGGCGTTCGCCACCATGTTCGCGGACAAGTGCGCTGGCCGCCTGCTGAACTCGTACCTGCACCTGCTGGCGCCCGTGCGCACCGACCCCAACAGCCTGCCCGACCGCATCACCAACCTCGCCATGCAATACGTCACCTACAGGTGCGTGTGTGGGGTTGGGTGTGGTTGGGTGTGTGGTTGGATGTGTGTGTGTGTGTGTGTGTGTGCGTGCGTGCGTGCGTGCGTGCGTGCGTGCGTGCGTGCGTGCGTGCGTGCGTGCGTGCGTGCGTGCGTGCGTGCGTGCGTGCGTGCGTGCGTGCGCGTGTGTGTGTGTGTGTGTGTGTGTGTGTGTGCGTGCATGCGTGCGCACTTGCATGATGCCGTGGATTTGCCACGCAACGGTGTCCCATTCTTGTTGCCCCATGCCTTTCCACTGTCGTAAATGGTTCTTCCCATTGTCCGCACCCAGTTACCAGCCTAGCTCGCTCATCCCTCGTCTGCCTGTCCCCATGTGTGCATGTGTGCGTGACACCAGTCTATCAAAGAAGGCGCTGCACGAGTCACTGAAGCCGCACCTGCAGGTGCTTCAGCTGAGGCCACATGCCCAACCTTCTCATCTCCCCTTGCTCATTCGTCCCTTCTCCCTTTACTTCCACTCGCCCCACGCCAGTCTATCGAAGAAGGCGCTGTACGAGTCACTGAAGCCGCATCTGCAGGTGCTGCAGTTCGAGGTGGCGTTCCCGCTGCTGTGCTTCAACGACCACGACGCCCTGCTCTGGGCCGACAACCCCCTCGAATACGTCCGCAAGGGATATGGTGGGTAGGGGAGGGGAGAGTACGGTGTGTGGGGAAGAGGGAAGGGGATGGGGGGGCAGGGGTACGATGCACTGCTCTGGGCTAATAACCCCCTCGAATACGTCCGCAAAGGCTACGGTGGGTGAAGGGGCGGGAAGAGGGGATTGTGTGGACCAACAGTCCCCTCAAATACATCCGCAAGGTTACGGCATGTGTGGGAGGAGAGGGGAGGTGGGATATGGTGAGTGAACGGGAGGGAGCGCTGTGGTGCATTGGGGGGGTAAGGAAGAAACGGATGAAGCTGTTCATGTCAATTCCCAACCAACTAACCCGCCATTCACCTCCCTGATTCTGTCCCTCACTCCATCTACCCATTCCATTCCCCAACCAACTTCACCTTGTTTCTTCTTCCCCTGGTTCCACTCCCCCCTCGGCAGACATCATAGAGGACATGTACA